GAATTTAGCTTAAATTATTAATAGTGATATTTTCGACTTTTTTTCATAAATAATACTGTTTTTAAAAATATTTTTTAAAATAGCACATTTAGAACATTATTTACACAACTAGCACTCTTTGCCGTTCACGTATTAAAATAATCGATTATTTTATATTATGATCGATCATTTCGCGCAATCAACTCTCGCTCAAACGAAGAAACCCTTCGCTTGAGCGAGGAAATCTGTAACAAAAGGGTAATCTCCGGTCAATTCTCGCTCAAGCGACGGGTATTTTCGCTTGAGCGAGAAGTGATTAAAATATGTGGTGACCCAAGTTGCGTTACGTGGCTAACTGCGTTGGACGTTTAGCCACATAATGCAACTTGGGTCACCACATATTTCAATCACTTCTCGCTCAGCGAAAGTACCCGTCGCTTGAGCAAGAATTGACCCGAAATTTTAGATAGCGGTTCTAGAACTAACTGCTATTAAAAATATATTTTAGATAGCGGTTAACATGGAACCGCTATTATATGTTCACTTTTAAGAGCGATTAAAATGTTAACCGTTCTTAAAAGTGACACATATATGATAGCGGTTCCACTTTAACCGCTCTTAAAAGTGAACATATAATAGCGGTTCCACGTTAACCGCTATCTAAAATATATTTTTAATCGCGATTAGTTCTAGAACCGATTATCTAAAATCTCGATTATTTGAAAAAGTAATCGATTATAACCAATTATTTGAAAATATAATCGATTATTTGAAAATTTAATCGATCATAACGGAGTAATTAAAAAAGTAATTAATTTAGAATTCGATTTCTTCACAATCAAAAAAGTATTTTTTAAATAATCGATTATATTCGATAATTTTTTCAAATAATTAATTATAATCGATTAGTTTTTTAAATAATTGATTAGAATTGATTAGTTTTTCAAATAATAGATTATAATTGATTAATTTCTCAAATATATATTAAAAAATTATAAATAAAAATATATATTAAATTAAAATTAAAAAAATTATTTATCAATTATATATTATAAAAATTATAATTATATAATTAAAAAAACCATATTTATAATTATAACTTTTAAAAAAATTATAACTATAAAATTAATGTTAAATAAATTATATATATTATATAAATTATAATTATATATAGATATATTACTTAAATTAAAAACTTTAAATTAATTATATATATATATATATATATTGCATAAATTAGAATAATAATTATCAACTTGAAAATAATTTATATTTAATATATATATATATATATTCTAAAATATAATTTATTTTAATTTCTATAATATATATAAATGAAAATAAGTTATATTTTGGAATATATATTTTATATTATAGTAATTAATATAAATTATATTTTAGAATATATATATAATTTTACATCAAAATATTATTTCTTCTTATATACATATAATTTTTAAGATTTTTATTATCCTCCTAATTTATTATTAATTTCTAAAAAAATTATAATATCAAATAAATCAAAAAATTAAAAATGTTTAATCATACAAATAAATTTAAATATAATATTTAATAATATATTTAAAAAATATTATTTTACTACTTTCAACAAGTAAATCTAAATATATTATTAATTTTAGAAATATACAAATCTTTTTAAATACCTAATTTAAAACTATAAATGTTAAATAAAATATTATAACATATATATATATATATATATATATATATATATATATATATTTTAGTTAGTTTTTCAAATAATCGATTATATTTTCAAATAATTGGTTATAATCGAATACTTTTTCAAATAATCAAGATTTTAGATAGTGGTTTTAGAACTAACCGCTATTAAAAATATATTTTAGATAGCGGTTAACGTGTAACCACTATTATATGTTCACTTTTAAGAGCGGTTAAAGTGGAACCACTATCATATATGTGTCACTTTTAAGAGCGGTTAACATTTTAACCGCTCTTAAAAGTGAACATATAATAGCGGTTCCACGTTAATCGCTATCTTAAATATATTTTTAATAGCGGTTGGTTCTAGAACCGCTATCTAAAATCTCGGGTCAATTCTCGCTTAAGCGACGGGTACTTTCGCTTGAGCGAGAAGTGATTAAAATATGTAGTGACCCAAGTTGCATTATGTGGCTAAACATCCAACGCAGTTAGCCACATAACGCAATTTGGGTCACCACATATTTTAATCACTTCTTGCTCAAGCGAAAATACCCGTTGCTTGAGCGAGAATTGACCAGAGATTACCCCTTTGTTACAGATTTCCTTGCTCAAGCGAAGGGTTTCTTCGCTTGAGCGAGAGTTGATTGCGCGAAATAATCGATCATAATATAAAATAATCGATTATTTTAATACGTGAACAATAAAAATGTTAGTTGTGTAAATAATGTTCCGGATGTGCTATTTTAAAAAATATTTTTAAAAATAGTATTATTTATGAAAAAAAGTCGATATTTTCATTTGATCTAACATTTTTATAAGTCTCAAAATCAAAAAGAAAAAAATTATATTTTTATAACAAAAAAAATATAAATAAAAAGATGACATCTTTAAGTCTTCGCATAAGGATCAAATAATAAATATCTACAACTAATTTTTAATATAAATTTGCATATGTCCATCTTTACTCTTTCAATAACGTGTCTCTATTAAATTAATAAAATTATAACACTTCTAAAAGCGATTATTATTTCTCATTTACTTTTACTTTACTAAATAATTAATATTCAAATTATTTTTTATTTATTTTTCTCATTTTTTTAATTCTCTTTATTTTTCATGTTAAAATTATAGAAGTAAAAAACAAAAAGAATATTCTTAAATCACTTTTCACAAATTTCTTGATAAAAAATAACTTTAAGTAAAATAATTGTTAATATTTCATCTTATTTGTTATTTACATTGTTGAATATAATAAAATCATTTAATTTAGATTTTGTCAATTTTTATAAATTTCAAATTAAGAAATAAAATGAAAATATAATATTATTACGAATATTTATGAATTAAAAATGGTTCGTGTGACTTTTTATGTCACTCTTTCTTTTATGAAAAAGAAAAAGAGAAATTAAAGTTTTTTTAATTATAATTTTATTCTAAGGTCTAAATTTCAAGGACTAAAAAAATAGAATATTATCGAATTACATAAACTAAAAATAAATAAAAAATAATGAGAAAAAGAAACTAAATAAACATATATATTATAAGGATTATTTCCGTATTTACAATGAGTATTAATATATAATCTCATTATGTACAATTCGGGTGATAGTATTTGTCAATACTTTCTCCATTCAAACAAGGTAAGTAATATTACTTTCTTGAAATTTGAAATTTATAAAATCTATTATAAATATTTTATCAAAACTGTAAACCATTTAAGGTTCCAAGTTATTTGAAACTTATCAACTTGTCAACTATTATATTAATTTAAAACTACTAAAATGATTTAACATGGGAAATTTAACTTTTAGAAAATTGATAGATGTTTTACTGAATTAAAAATAGGCGGGGTTAAATAATTAAAATTAAATTTACTAATATTAGTTATTAAAAATTGTTATAAATAGTTTTTAATACACAAAAATATTATAAATACTTAATTGAGATGCTAAACTCTTAAAAAAGGCTGTAAACATTTTTTTTTTAAATTTAGAATAGTTGAGATTGTAAAATTAAATTCAAGTTTAATAATTTGATTAATAAATACTTTTGGAAATCTTACTTTCAAAAAATATAAAAATTTCTTTTTTGAAATTGATAATAGTTGAGATTAGGTAATTAAATTAAATTAGTAACTTAATTATTTAAATGTTCTTATGAATTTACTTATTTTTTGAAATTTAAAACTTTTAAAGAAGTTATAAATGTTTTCTTAAATTAAAGAGGTTCATCTTGATTTTTGTAAGCAGCAAACAAATTGGTGGGGCCTCATTGTCGGTTGTTAACTTCATTAACAAGGGATCATCCATGTTATGTTTGGTTGGATTAGGTCAACCAGGTTCAGATAAGGGATCATCCATGTTATGTTTGGTTGATTATATCAACCAGGTTCAGACTGGCCGTTATGTTTGGTTGTACTGTTATGATGCTGCCCCAACCAATTACGGCTAATCAGACAAGTTTTGGCTCCTTCTATCTTACAATAATTATTATTATTAATTTTAATATCATTACATGTTACTGTTTAGTGTTACTTTGATGAGGACTTCAGTTCATTTAGAACTGAAAACATGGATTTGTTAACTTTTGAGTTCGGATTTTAATAAATTTAGTTCTAAAAACCTACAGAGATCGATTAGATTTTGTTCAATTTGACGACACTGAAATCAAACTAAACCACACTATAATGTTTGATTCAAAGGGTTTTCTTCAAGAAATACTACAGCAAATCGTATTTTGTAACACTCCTAAGAAGTTCAAATTTTAACATTTAAAAAATATGTTACTTCTGTTCCAAAATTTAATTTCTGAAATACTTATCCATTACCAAAATAAACTTAGTGATGGAGAAAACAATAGCAAAAACCCAAAAGAGACGTGTAAAGTTAAAAAGGTTAAAGTTTAAATTAACAATATGCAAACCAGCAATTTCCAGTCAGCAAACTCTAGAATTAAACTTACTTAGCTCTGCAAGTTTCACCAGTTAAGTTTATTAGACTAAATAAAATTACACAAGATCCAAACATACTTTAACAAATAAGTTCACGTTAAAGAAAATCTATAAGCTCTCAATAAATAAATTACTAATTCATTCATCCAAACATGGCGTAGCAAAGTGAGTCCTTGATGTTGAACGCATGTTTCTAATTTCAATTCCTTAACCAAAATTTCAATAACATTTAGAAACATAACAAAATTACCAAGGAAAAAAAATAATACCAATAATATTTAGAAGAGAATATGAAACCTAAACAAGCCAAACTTTGATCCTCTAGTGAAGCTAAACTTTGTTGTGTCTTGAAACATTATTAGTGGCCACTCTCCGTTCTTCTGGTTTACACTTTCCTAACCTGGATATTGTGCGTGGATTGGAACCTCCATATGGGTTGCCTTCCACTTTGTACAAGTGCTACTTCTTCTCCTTCCTTCACCATTCCTTGCTTCTGCACATGGAAACCATGCAAATGTGATCATTAAGAAAAACAAGATCACAAAGATCACGCCACAAGCCCTCAGTTTAAGCAGTCATGTGAGATGATTTTGGAAGCATAATAATCTATTCAGTATGTGGCATCTCCTAAAAAGGATTCAGTAATCACCTTCAACGTAGGTCCATAAGTAAATGAATTTCATTTTATCGCCAAACAATCGAATCATGTATCAAAATTCAATTCAATAATGTTAGACAAACCATTTAAAAGTGTCTTTTTTCACTTTGGTAGGAAACTGCCTAGGAATTGGAAAGCCAATTGTCCCTAATCCCTACTCATTCAGTGGCATAGCACAAAAACATGATAGGCAGAATCCAGGTTAGCTAAAGAAATAGCAGACATTCCATGTTTGTTCAACGTGAAACATCATGCATCAGCCGACACGAAGTTCACACAATATTGATAAAGTACTCCATGCATGAATAGTCTAAAAGGATAAACCTTGAATGTTAAAAAGCTACCCTGACGACATCGGGAGAGGAAAACCATTTGTGAATTTTCAAATTAGTTCAAACTACCATTAACCATGTTACTTGGTACACGTAATTTGAATCCAAAAGAACTAAATTATTGTGCATGGCCTCCAAATATTACCTGCAGAAGGTCCAAGGCTCTTCTGAAGGTTGCCTCAGAATCGTCACAGAATTCCATGTATATGGGACAGACTCCTTGATACAAAGCAAGCCTCTGCTGCACCCTCTTCCTGCATTCGCCAATGGAACAAAAGAAATCAACTCATAGGCAACTGTTACTTTTAATAGCTTCTCCAAACGTGGAATAGTAGTGATTCATTTAAAGAAGCTGATTCATCAAATTTATTTTCTGGAAATACTAGTGAACTCTGAAAACCAGAAAATTTCACAAAGCAACCAGTTAAGAATTCAGAATGTTACTGTGTGCAGATATTAACCAAGAAATTGAAAATTCTGTAAGTTAAATTTTGAACAAATGTCAAATAAGGGAAAACAATCAAAACATCCACATATGCTTATTTTGTTTTTGGAAAAAATGGTCCTCTCATGAATAAGAGAAAGGGGACAAAAAGAACTCACTCATCTGTAAAAGCAAATATGGTGCCAGAAGGACGATAGTGGCTCAGTAAGATAGCCATGAAACCAGTTCTAGTGAAGACAACAGTTGAGGTTCCAAGGGTGTTAGACATCATTGTTGCATGGTATGCAAACATCTCACTCATGCGGTTCTACATTGAACCAAAAGTAAAAGACAAAAAATTTAGATCGGACAGTCAAATGAAGTGCAATAGATTAAATAAAAAGTCAACATGGCAGCGACATAGATTGACTTAAACCTTGAACACTGGACCAATGTTAGGTGGCATAAGACCACCTGGTATAGTGGCCTCTGTCCGCAATGCTACTGTGTGCATTACTTTCACAGCTTTTAACGGGAACCTGCAGTATCATAGATTGAATCATTCTTTTTGGCTCAATAATAAAAATAAAAACATTGCATTATTTTCACAGTATCAACCATGCCCCTGCTTCTTATAAACATTATAAACATTATACCTCAAAGCCCAGATTTGTCAGTCATATACATGCTACTACTAACCAAACATAACATTTTTTTTCATTTATGATCAATTAGCATCTAGTGAGAGCAGGAGCAGTGACAGGAGATATATGATCTGATATGATTCATATGTGTTGCCAGGAAACTAGTTACTTACTTTCCATGAGCTGTTTCTCCAGACAACATTATTCCATCAGAACCTTCTCGAACAGCAATTGCTATATCTGATACCTCTGCTCTGGTAGGAGTTGGATGAACAATCATGCTTTCTAGCATATTTGTTGCCACAATAACAGCCTTTCCCATGCTACGACACAAGTTGATTATCTCTTCCTACATCAACAGGCATTACAAATGCTAGGATGAGATCAACTCAGTTGACATCTGTCCATACCAATTACAAATTATCAATACTATAGATCCTCAGTAATTAGATAACAGAAGTTTACCTGCAAAAGTGGAACCTCTTCAATGGGGAGCTCAGCACCAAGATCTCCTCTGGCAACCATAGCCTAAACAAGACAGGTCAGCATAAAAAATCAGTACAGAAATACTCAAGAAAGTCTACAAGTTATAACCAGTAAGCAAAATAAAAGCAAGCATGAAGAAATAATGCCAGGATTAGATTAGCACCCCATCAGATGCAGTGATAATTGAGTTCAAATTTGGGATTGAGTCTGCGCTTTCAATTTTTACAATAACATGTATATCAACACCACTGCCTGCAGTATTGAATGAGAAATTCATCATGTATACAATCTAAATATGCAAACTAATAGAATAAATTTTAAAAAGTATTTTAATTCTTTTTATATATTTACTCTTCAAATAATTCTTCAGTTCATGAACAACTTCAGCATCCTTAACAAAGGAAACAGCATAGAAGTCAACTTTGTTATCAACTCCAAACTTGATATCATCCCAATCCTTCTCTGCAACAAATCAATGCAAATATTATGTCCATAGGATCCCACCATAACATCAATCCCCAGTAACTACCCTCCCACTCAACTAGAGGCACACACAGAGATAGACACTAGAACTTTATTAATAATCTGAATTCTGACCAGTGATTGAAGGAAGTGTTGCACTTTTTCCTCTAACATTCAAATGTCGCCTAGACTTCAGCTCTCCTCCATCAACAACTTCACATTTCACAGAATCCTGTGTCTTAGACTTAACCACCATAGACATCATACCACCTACATAACACATCAGAGAGTAAGCAAAATTACCTTTTCATCCAAAAGGTCCACAATTGTAAGTACAAAAGACAACTGTATACAACTATAACAGTGTTAAACAATGGGTCCAACCCTTTTTCTGGTTGGAAAATTATAGCACTAGGTTTCCCATAGCGTCAAGTAAGTTGTTATATTATATATTCTATCTAGCCTATCATATTCTTCTTTGTAGGAACATCAGCATTAAATCTTTCAAAAGTTTACTTCATTTCATGACTCAATTGAAACTTATGTAACAGATATAAACAGAAGCCCATTATCCTGCACAAAACATCATGAAAAATGGAAGGCAGAATAAACAGTGTTATTAAATGTTTGTTTGCAAACTTAAAGACAGTATGCAATTACAATACTTGTACAACCAAATGCTTTCATCATTACGGCATTAACCTGAGCATGTTTCTTGGACCAAAAAGCTTATCAATGCATCTCAAAAACAGGTTATAGCATAATTTCACCAGAAGGGGGTCTCGAGAGGTCACTCTCTAAGAATGCATTAATTCTGTAACGAATTTGAACTTAGTCCCTCATTGCAAGGAAAAATTCTCAACATAATTTAATTAAATATGCATAAATTACCCCTAAAGTTGAAGTGATAATTTATCAATCCATGAGCATAACTACATGTTTAAAGAATTTGAACATTTTAATTGATGAATAGATAACCATCATACCATCAACAAGAAGCATATCGCCCACTTCCACATCATTGACAAAATCATCGTAGTTCACACTAACACAATCTGCAGTTCCAACACCTCTTTGAATAGTAAAAGTGAATTCCTGCCCAGGCATTAATATGATAGGTTGTGGCAAATCCCCACTCCTAACTTCAGGACCCTGAGAATGAAGAAATAAAACATATTAGATAACACAAAATCATATACTCTTTGTTTGAAAAGTAGAATGTTTGGGAGGAATTGTGTGCATATGATGCATATTTGATCTTGTGTATTATATTAGCTTATTTTCTGTTTGAAACAGCTCATAACCAAAAGCTTACAGTGAGAGGTTTTCAAAAAGGAAAATCAATAATTCTCAAATTTAATAAAATCAGGTGTTCGCTCTTATTTATAGCTTGAAAACAATAAATCAATCGAGAGAACAAGCAGACAGCCTAATAATCGGTAGTCAACTTATATGGTCAAATGACTAGCTAATCCATTTAATTGAATTGCCAAGTGCTAAAATTCTAAACACAAGATCTAAGGACTGCACTCATCCTTTAACAGTATAATAACTTCTGCTTATTAGCTTTGGGGGCTCCGTTAGGTAAAAGGTTAACTTTCAAAGGCAATGAGCACTTTACACTTTTATTTGGAGCATTAGATCAATAACAGTATATCACTCATTTTTATCTATATTCTAATCAGAGTTAATTTTTTTATCAGAGTTTAACAATGCAACACCACTATCAAGGATTCATACCTATCCTATAAGACAGGCCGAATTACAAATACATCACATTCTCAATGTTTAAAGAAAGAGGATAAATTGAAATTATCACCCATTAATGTTTAAAGAGGCCGAATTATGAATACTGGCTTTATAACACTGATAAATAGGATTTACACAACAGAGACAATGGCACATGCTTCCATAATAAATAATGGCAATATGTAGCATAATGAGTCAAACCACTATCTCTTGCCCATTTAATTATGATTCCCAGAGCAGAAGTTAAAGTAAAATAAATATTAATAACTGCCTATTGATAGCAACATTTTAAGTCATAACATTTTTAACTAAAAAAGTGCAACACTAATTTGTGGCATATGCAGATAAAATGTAACTGTTAGAATATAAGGAGAAGAAATTAATTAAGATAGTTAAAATATTAATGAGTTAGTTAGCTACTTGAAGTGTTAGTTACATATAAATAGGGGAAGATCGATAGAGAGGGAAAGGATGTTCATTTTGTAGATTGAGCATTATATCTTTGTGAAGAAGAAATCCTGTGTGAGGTAGAAACCCTTGGAGGAGAGAGTACTCTCCTATTCTTTGTTCTCTTCACTCTATTCAATAAAAATCTTTCTTTTCTTCCGCTTTTCAATTTTTGGTTCCCAATAAATTGGTTGACATGTCAGATCTTTGAGGGAGAGCAAGTGAATATGGAGTAACCATAAATTTGGGCCATGGGGAAACTGCCAGCATTTATGGGAGCAAATCCAATTGGTTGGATTTCTAGGGCTAAGAAATTATTTGAGATGCAAGGAATTTATTCATTCTATAAGCTGCAATATGCATTCATGAGCATGGAGGGTGTAATATGCTTTGATTCTATTATTGGTTCCATGAGAATCCAAGTTCAGATTGGGAATCATTTTCCATAGATTTTATCAAGAGATTCGGTGATAGCTATAGTAACCACTTCTTTGAAAGATTGATTACCTTGAAGCAAGAAGAGCAAACTGAGATCAAAACTTGCATTGAAGAACAGGAGAGTCCCACAATGCTCTTGAAAGAGAGGACCAACATGTTAGAGCTGAACCACATGCTGCACAAGATATTGAATGAAGAGAGTAATTCACATTTGACTGATCAAGACAAAAATAGCATGGAGGAAAGTGGGACAGAATACATTGAAGTAGAAGCTAGTTCTTGGGCAAGAAAGGTGGAAGAACTACCCACCTTTGATGGAAAAGGGAGATGGATCAAAGAGTAGCGGTTTTAAGTGTGATGATAATCCATTGCAATTCTTGACATCACAAAGTAGAAGTACAGAAGTTTAACTGTTAAAATATTTTAGTTAGTAACTTGAGGTGTTAATTAGATATAAATATGGGAAGAAGGGCAGAGAGGGAAAGGATGTTCATGTTGTAGATTAAGCATTAGCTCTTTGTGAAAGGAGAATTTTTTGTGAAGGAAAAACCCTTCATAGAAACCGTGTTCTCCTATTTCTTGTTTTTTTTCATTCTATTCAATAAAAAATTTTCTTCTCTTTCTCTTTCTCTTTTCAATTCTTGGTTCCTGGCAGTAACCCATATAGACTAACTCAATATTATGGCCCACAAAACTTCTGCCACCAGGTCTCTTCCAAAACAGCAGAGAGGAACCATTGTTAATAAGATTACAGCCTCACATATGCCAAGCATGTCCTCTCCTATTATAATCCACACTTCAACCTCAACATCACATTAACAAGAATCTAAATAAAATCACTAACAAGGGAAACATTGTGCCAATCAGTCATGCTATGTAGGAATTTCATATTTTCATCTAGAAGACGGGAGAGACTTGAAATATGAGCCACTAACACCTGCCATATTAAATAATACAATAAATTGGTTTTCACATAGAAAACTTAATCAACCCAATGAAGAGGAACATAAATATCAGCAGTAACCATGGTCATGGAGAAAGCAACAACAAAAATGCTAAATCACTGCTGCACCCTCCAAGATTTGCGTCATATTGCTTGTAGTATACCAATCCCAAAGTTATTGACCAAACTATCTATCTTTAGGGAAGTACCAATCAAAGCAAGGTTTATTAAAAACAGGTTGTGATTGCATTTGTCCACAATACCAAGGATCACATCAAATCGCAACCACAACCACAATATAAAACCTTGAATCAATGTAGATAAAAAGTAAAATTTTAATTTAGCGGGCACGCCTTCTGCTTACAATGTCCGATACAAAATTGGCACAAGCAAATATACAAGAACAGCATAGCCCTGTCTGAAAAACAAAAGGGAAAACAAAATGTTTTGAGTGAAGAACTAACCAACCTTTGTGTCAAGCATGATTGCAATCACATTGTCCTTGTTTTGAGCATTATATTCCTTAACCAAGTCAATAACTTTCTGATGAGAAGCATGGTCCCCATGAGACATATTCAACCGAGCAACGTTCATCCCAGCCTCAGCCAGCTTCCAAATCATTTCCTTCGTATTGGTAGATGGTCCAATGGTACATACGATCTTGGTCTTGCGCCTAAACGTGGGCTTCGACCACATCCCACCCGAATTCTCACCAAATGGCTGCACCCCACGTAAATGTCGCAAATGCTCCTCAATCTAATAACCACAACACAAAAAGGGTCACAACGATTACCCCCAAAAAACCTATCCAATGCAAAAAGAAAGAACCTGTGGATCATCTTCGGGTGACACGGGGATGACTTCAGAAGGGGCAGATTTCCCTGCACTGATCTGAAAGCTTCTGAGGCCGAGTTGGGAGCTTTTGTTATTGTTCCCTGGTGAAGGTAACACCTTCGAAGCAAAATATTGAGGCTTTAACAGGTTTTGGGCCCTGTCACTTGCAGATCTAGAAGAGGGGCACAAAAGAGTGCTTTGAATGGATCGTGAGACTGCGACCTGAGACATCGTTTAGAAAGAGAGAAAAATGGGGTGGGAAAGAGAGGAGAGAATGTGAGACGTATAAGAAGGTGAATGGAAAACAGAAGTTGGAATAATCGCCGCCTATATTTGACGGAGGTTCTGAGAAGGCAACGTGGGGCAACTTGTGAAGGAGGCCTCGTTCCTATCGAAACACAATGTACACTGTTCTGTAATTGAGCTTTCCTTCAACGTGTTTGTTGTTGGAATTTAATTAAAATTCAAATGGGTTGTGTGCTTTTAAACATGTTCATAACCTACTTCTCACACATTTTTTGGTCAAAATATGGTAAATGTTCTCATTCAAAATATCCAATAGGATGCTCTAAAATGTGAAAGAGTATTAATTTTATTATTTTTAATAAATGTATTGATTTTTTTATTAATATCTTTATCATTTTTTATTCAATATCATTTTAATAATTATTATTTTTTTGTAATAAATATAGTTAAAAATAGAAATATAATTAATAAATTAATATATTTTCAAATTTTATAAATGATATATATTTAGAAATCTATTTTTTCTTCAAAAAAAAAGGTGATATATTTAATAAATAGTTTGTATTAATCAAGAAGAAAAATTAAAATTTCAACGGGTGACGGAGTATGTTTCGGAAAAGTGATTTTAGGATCAAACCAAATTGTGTCTGAATTTGCCTAAGAAAGTCATTCTATTTGTAATAAATGAATATAATAACATAAATCCTTCAAACTCATGGCTTACTTACTATAAAAGTTTAGGTCATCTCTATCATATATGTTCTCTATTCATCATTTCATTTTATCACGTACACATATTTATTATAATATATATTTAAAATGGGAAAGGATTGCCTCCATTTCTTACATTTCATAAGGCAACCATTTTATTATTAGTAATATTAATTGTGCTAAAAATTTGGTAATAGAAGAAGTAATAGAGAAACTAAAAAAAATGGAGAGAAATATTTCTTATTTTAAATAGGATTTTTATCTATTCAAATATTGTATTATCTTTACGACCATAGCTGGTCTATAAGACTTTGTTATGTTAAATGTAAATTATGTGTACTTCAAAAAAGACTTAAAATAAGAGAAGTATTTAAAAAATATTCTTTATTATTATCAAATAAAATAAAGAAAAAAAACATAAAGAAAAATTATATAAAGAAAATCAAAAGAACTTGAAGAGAATAAAATATATAATATTTTAAAAGAAATTAGGAGTTTAAAATATTATATTAGTTTTTAAAAAGTTATAATATGGAAAAAAATGAGGTCGATGAATTTAATTACCAAGCAATTTTTTTACAAATCTAATTAGAGCACATATTATTTAGTATTTATTAGTAATTGATGTTAATTAATTAATAATAATAATAATAGTACATTATATGGAAAAGATATAATAGTTGTAGATAAAAATGTACCAAAATACAGAAGACCACAGACTATAAATATAAACACAAAAATTATATTGACACCCTTTGACTGATAGTTACATCTAGTTATTAATTATACTGAGTAGACAAATTTACTAACTTTTACAATATATATAATGACCCTATCTCAGACTAGAAGGTAAATTACAACCACTAATCTTAAAACTATAGAACTATCAAGCCAAACATGAAAAGCTTTCATCATGAGGCTCAATTTAGACCACACTAGTAAAAATTAGTTCAACTACACCAGCTAGACCCATTACCAGTCTTATACAACAAAGACTACATAATCATTACGTATAACTCTATCATGCGCCTAATCTTAGTAAAACACTACCAATAACAATAGTTTTGATCGACCTAAACACAACTCAAGCACATTAGTTGGTTGATCCAAATAAGAGAAAGGAGATATGTATGACAATAACAATATAAAACACAATACAATAGGACTTACAAACCTATTGTAATCAACATTGGAAGAACAATGGGAGAACATGTATTTTGTGACATTTTTTTTATTATTTATATAAGAGTAGGAGGTAAAAAAAATATATTACATATATGTAAAAGTAATTTACATTACTATATAAGATATACAAAAGAAGAAGGAATTTTATTTTTGATTCCTTCTATTTGTTTTTTCTACAATTTTACAAGTATCTACTTTACTGGTGGAAACAAACTGATTAAGGGATTTTGGAAAAAGGTAGAAGGCATACAAAAGGTAACCACTACTGGCCCATAACATAATGGGATTTCTCATATCAGATACAAATGTTATTATTGAAAATCATGTCCCTCTAAAAGTAACCGAGTTGTCTATAACATTCGTGTTCCAAGTAGTTCCTGGAAAGAAGACAGTGATGCTTGCGAAAAGAGATTTGGAATATTTGGCGTCTCCATCTACTTAAGTTGGTGTTTAAATAAAACATGCACAAAAGATCACAATAGGGAGTGAGAATATTTATCTTTTACAATAATACAATCTTATAATATATAGATATATATGTTTCAACTTCCTCAACACATTCTATTTTATGAAGATTTAAATTAAATTTGTAGTGACTAGTCGGGATAAATGAGCTCAATTTTAATCACTCTCACAGTGATATTTACTCATTTAAATCCCCAAGGTCCAACCTCCATCTACAATATCATCAAATCTTCACAAATATATATTATTATGATTGAATAATATAACTATAAATTAATAAATAGGATCATCTGCATTACTAGAGATAGAATAAACAGGATCAATACATAACTGGAGATAATTAAAATAGGACTAGTACAAGACTAGAGATAAAATAAAATAAACAAACAGGACCAGTACCTAACTAGAGATAATTAAAATAGAATCAGTGCAAGACTGAAGATAAAATAAAATAAACAAACAGGACTAGTACCTAACTTGAGATAATTAAAATAGGATCAGTGCAAGACTGGAGATAAAATAAATAAATAAAGAGGACCAGTACATTATTAGAGATAAATAAACAAATAACTAAATAAATAGAATGAGGTTAGGAACACCTCACTCCACAACTATAAGTAAAATAAAATAGATTTAATGATAATATTCTTCTCCCATACCTTAAGAGCTGTGGATGAGGTACCAAAATTTGTGGAGAGACCATTTTTTTTTCTCTCTTTCTCTTCCTCCCTCTCTCTTTCTTTTTCTTTCTCTTTATCTCTCCTTCTTTCTCTCTCTTCCTTTCTCTCTCTCCTTCTTTCTCTCTCTCCTCCCTTTCTCTTTCTCCCGCAACTCCCCCCTGTCCCTTTTTATAGCCATATTTTATTTATTTATTATTTTTTTTTCTTAATGAAATCATTAAAATAATTAATGACTTGGATAAAACTTACCCATTAAGATAAGTTAACCTTATCTTTCAATTTATTTATTTATTTTTTGAGATATTACATTTCCCCTATACTTACAGAAATTTCGTCCTAGAAATTTTTAGCGACTAAAATAGATAGGGGTAACTTTCCCTGATTTTCTTTTCTAATTCCCATGTAGCGTCTCCAGTAATTTCATTCCGAACAACCTTCACTAGTGAGATTTGTCTTCCCCTCAGTTGCTTGATCTTCATATCTGTAATTTGTACAGACATTGTTTCAAATGTAAGGTTATCCTTTAATTTTACTGTATCTGGCATTATTACATGAGAAGGGTCAGAAATATATTTTCTTAATTGAGACACATGAAACACATTATGAAGATTAGAAAGAAAAGGGGGTAAGGAAATTTGATAAGCAACAGGACCTATTTTTCTAAGAATTTGATAGGGACCAATAAATCGAGGAGTGAGTTTCTTGGCTTTCATTACTCTACCAACTCCAGTTGTCGGTGTTACTTTCAATAATACATGTTCACCTTCTTAGAATTCAAGGGGTTGTCTTCTCTTGTCAGCATAGTTTTTCTGTCGACTTTGAGTTGTTCTTAATTTTTCCCTAATCATCTTAATTTTCTCTATGGTTTGTTGAATCATGTCAAGACCTAAGATTAAATTTTCTCCAGTCTCAAACCAACATAAAGGTGTCCTACATTTTCTCCCATACAATGTCTCATAGGGTGTCATACCTATGCTAGAATGAAAACTTTTGTTATAAGTAAATTCAATTAATGATAAGTATCGATCCCAACTACCAGAATCTTCTAACACACATGCTCTCAACAAATCTTCCAAGGACTGAATGGTTCTTTCTGATTGTCCATCAGTTTGAGGATGATAAGCTGAGCTAAGATGAAGCTTAGTTCCTAAGGCTTAATGTAGGCTTCCCCAAAATTTAGAAGTAAACCTAGGATCCCGGTCAGAAATAATACTAGATGGAACTCCATGTAACCTCACAATTTCTTTTATGTACAATTCAGTCAGTTTCTCCAATGAATACCTGATGTTAATGGGTAGAAAATGAGTAGACTTTGTCAACCTATCCACGATAACCCATATGGAATCAAATTTTTGAATTGTTCGTGGTAAGCCAACTATAAAGTCCATTGCAATACTATCTCATTTCCACTCAGGTATGTCTAAAGATTGTAACATCCCTGCAGGCCTTTGATGTTCTATCTTAGCTTTTTGTCAAACTAAGCATGATGCTACATATTGTACTACTTGCTTCTTCATTTTAGGCTACCAAAATATTTTCTTAAGATCTTGATACATTTTTGTTGTGCCTGGATGTATGCTCAATTTACTCTTATGTGCTTCATCTAAAATCAGCTTTCTAATCTCTACATTATTAGGCACACATACTCTACCACTAAATCTCAAAATTCCTGCTTTATCTATGCCAAATTTTTCTTCATTCTTTTGTCCTATCAACTTCTTTTTCTTTTGAATAAATTCATCAACTACTTGTGCCTCTTGAATTTGTCTTTGTAATCCACTAGTAATCTGAGTTAAGTTTAATTTTATCCTATCAGGATTCATGGTAATTGATAAATTCATGTTTCTAAACTCTTCTAGCGGACTCATCTCGTGAATCATAAGGGAAGAGACATGTAATGATTTTCTGCTTAAAGCGCTACTACATTTGCCTTTCCTGGATGGT